AGTGCCCCGCCCTCATCTCCGTGCCTGCTTGCTTTTGCTGCTGTCTCGGCGACTTGCTGCCTGTTTCTGCTGCTGCTTCACTTACGGCGTGGCGTCGGCGGTTCTGGCGCTACTACTGCTACTACTACTACTACTACTACTACTACTACTACTACTACTACGACTACTACTACTACTACTACTACTACTACTACTACTACTACTACTACTACAACTACAACTACAACTACTACTACTACTACTACTACTACTACTACTACTACTACTACTACTACTACCGCTACTGCTACTGCTACAACTACGACGGTGAGGAGAAGGAGGAGGACGGCGTTTATCGCTCCTACTAAGAGGCTCCAACTCCTAGGTAGGGTCGCACTAGGATACTTTGGGGGAAAAACAACAACAACAAAAACTACTTCTGGACCTTCGTCACAACGATTGCGTGTGCTTGGAACGCCGTTTAAAACAAAAACTGCGTAGTTTGGAAACTTATCTTCAAACAGCTACGCACGTTTGGAACATCATTCCTACAAAAACTGCGTATGATTGCATCGCAGTTCCAAACAAACTGCGTATAATTGAAACGTCGCTTCAAAAAATGAATAATTCTGGATCGTCGTTCCGAAGAAACTGCACATGTTTGGAACGCCGTTCCAATCAACTTGTTGTGCTTTGGAACGTCGAAACCACTGCGTATGTTTGGAACGTCGTTCCGAACAACTACGTATTGTTGGAACGTCGTTCCAAACAAACGTAATGTGTTTCGAACGTCGTTCCAGGAAAAGCTGCATTTGTTTGGAAAGTCGTCCAACAAAACTGCGCATGCTTGGAACGCCGTTCCAAACATCGGCTTAGGTTTGGATCATCGTTTCAAACAACTGCGTGTTTTAGAACGACTTTCAAAAAATTGCGCATGCTTGAAACGTCATACCAAGAAACTGAATATGGTTGAAGTCGCGTTCCAAAAAATGCGTGTTCTTCGAACCGCGTTCAAAAAACTGCGTATGGTTGGAACGTCGTTCCAAAACATTTCGTGCGTTTGGAACGTCGTCCCAAAGAAAAGCATAGTGAGGGAACGTCGTTCCAAATTAATGTGTTTCGAGCGATCCCCACCGAAACCTTTGGCGTTTGATCCCGAAGGTGCGCGCGCTCATTGGAACGATGTGCGCGGTGCGCGGTGGTCTCGGCCAGTGCGGCGGTCGGGCCATGCCGCAAGTTGCCATTATCCTGGAATCCAACGGCCCCAGAGCCCCTGACGCAAGAAACCGAAACAAACTCTGGGTCTAGGTAAGCTATGCTCTGAAATGCTGTCATTGTGTGAACTGGTATGCTCTGTTATGTTACGCTATATTGTGGTGTGTATGACATTTCTTGTTTGGTATTGTGCGTGGTGCTATGTAATGCTCCGTGTGCTCGGATATGGAATCGCATATGTGGTATGGCATGTCCTGTTCTCACATGCTCTGATATGGTATGCATTGTTGTGCTACTACGTTATGACGTCGTATGTCATGCTATGTTAGACTGGGTTATGCCGCGCTCTGTCACGGTATGATGTGTCATGTTATGGACTGATATGTGCTGTGACACTGTGTTACGGTGTCATATGTCCTGTCATGGTATGACATGATATGATATGATAGTTTATGCCATGGTGTGTAAGTTCATGGTACGTTATGTTGCGCTGTGAGGTGTAGTGTTCTGGTATGTGCTGTGCGACGCATTATGTCACAGCTCGTGGTGGTATCATATGATATGTTTTCTCTGATATAGCATAGTACGCCACGCTATGTCATGTTATGCCTTGTCATGGTATGGCATGATATGTGTTGTGATGCTGTGCTATGGTGTGGTTTGTTATGCCATGGTATAGTGTGGGATGATATGGTAAGCCATGTTATGATATGCTCTGTTATGGTATGGGTTGAATGCTCCGATCTGTCACCGTATGCGCTGGTATGCTGTATAAGATGGTATGCCATGTCATAGTGTGTGATGATGTGGCACGTTATGTGTTGGTATGCTCAGTGTCATATTACGGAATGATATGTGCTGTGATGCTTTGCTATAGTATGTACAATGCTCTGCAATGGTGTGTTATGTCACGATATGGTCTGTCATGATATGATATGGTATGGTATGCCCGTGTATGTTGTGTTCGGTGGTGTGGTGTTATGCTCTGTTCGGTGGGGGGACCTGGGGATCTGGCGGCCGCGGAATGCAGAGTGGGCGAGTCGGCGCGGGGGGCGGGACCCTCAGGGACTGTCGGGCACTTGGGGATCTAGCGGCCGCCGTATGCAGAGTGGGCGAGTCCGCGCGGGGGGCGGGGCCACCTGTCGGGAGCCTGGGGATCTGGCGGCCGCGGTATGCAGGCCGGGGGGAGCGGGATCACCAGGGAGTATCGGGAGCCTGGGGATCTGGCGGCCGCGGTATGCAGGGCGGGCGGGCCAGGAGGTCTGTTCTTAAAATCTAGCGATCCCAACCTGTCGGGTGGGGAAAACTGCCTATTTTGGGAACGGCGTTCCAAAAAGCTGCGTATGTGTGAAACGTCGTACCAAGAAACTAAACTGAATTAGTTAGGAACCGCATTCCCCAACAAAAATGCGTATGTCTGGAACCTCGTTCCAAAAAACTGCGTCTGCTTGGACCGTCGCTCCAAAAATCTAACAGAACTGCGTAGATTTGGAACGTCGTTCCAAAAGTACTCAATTCTCTAAGGCTACAAGGGCACACGGCTAGATTCGCACGCGCAGCATACAGAACCCACACGCCAGATGCTCGAGCGGAGGCCCGTGGGGCCACGAACCGTGCCAGGGGTGTGCCGACATGGACCCGACCACTCGGTGGAGCCCCCTGTGGGGCCACGAACGGCGTGAGGAGTGTGCCGAAATAGACCCAAAGCCTTCGGTGCAGCCCCCTCGTGAAGCCCTGAACCGCATGAGAGGTGTGCCGAAACGGCCCCCAAGCCTGAGCTGGAGCCCCATGTAGGGCCGCGGACAGTGTGAGGGGTGCACCGAAATGGACCCGACGCCTTCGGTGGAGCCCCTAGTCGTAGTCGTAGTCGTAGTCGTAGTCGTAGTCGTAGTCGTAGTCAGTAGTCGTAGTCGTAGTCGTAGTCGTAGTCGTAGTCGTAGTCGTAGTCGTAGTCGTAGTCGTAGTCGTAGTCGTAGTCGTAGTCGTAGTCGTAGTCGTAGTCGTAGTCGTAGTCGTAGTCGTAGTCGTAGTCGTAGTCGTAGTCGTAGTCGTAGTCGTAGTCGTAGTCGTAGTCGTAGTCGTAGTCGTAGTCGTAGTCGTAGTCGTAGTCGTAGTCGTAGTCGTAGTCGTAGTCGTAGTCGTAGTCGTAGTCGTAGTCGTAGTCGTAGTCGTAGTCGTAGTCGTAGTCGTAGTCGTAGTCGTAGTCGTAGTCGTAGTCGTAGTAGTCGTAGTAGTAGTAGTAGTAGTAGTAGTAGTAGTAGTAGTAGTAGTAGTAGTAGTAGTAGTAGTAGTAGTAGTAGTAGTAGTAGTAGTAGTAGTAGTAGTAGTAGTAGTAGTAGTAGTAGTAGTAGTAGTAGTAGTAGTAGTAGTAGTAGTAGTAGTAGTAGTAGTAGTAGTAGTAGTAGTAGTAGTAGTAGTAGTAGTAGTAGTAGTAGTAGTAGTAGTAGTAGTAGTAGTAGTAGTAGTAGTAGTAGTAGTAGTAGTAGTAGTAGTAGTAGGAGGAGTAGTAGCAGTATGAGTAGTAGTAGTAATCATAGTAGTAGTACTAACCATAGTAGTAGTAGTAGTAGTAGTAGTAGTAGTAGTAGCAGTAGCAGTAGCAGTGGCAGTAGCAGTAGTAGCAGTAGTAGTAGTAGTAGTAGTAGCAGTAGCAGTAGCAGTAGCAGTAGCAGTAGCAGTAGTAGTAGTAGTAGTAGTAATAATAATAATAGCAGTAGCAGTAGCAGTAGCAGCAGCAGTAGCAGTAGCAGTAGTAGTAGTAGCAGCAGCAGTAGTAGTAGCAGTAGAAGAAGCAATCGTTTTAGTAGCACAGACAATGGCCGTAGCAACACTGTTGGTCGTAGCAGTACAAGTAGCAGAGGTGGGACGAATAGAAGCTGAAGACACCTGCATGTAGGAATAATAATCGTTGTAGTCAAAGCTGTAATAAATGTGCCGAATTGACCAGAAGCCTTCGGTGGAGCCCTCCTGCGGGGCCACGAAGCGCGCGACGGAGAGGGCAGAGGGAGCTTCGCGGCCCCGCCCACCCGTCTCAAGCAGAGAAACAGACGAAGAGGCGTCCAAGTCGCTCCCACAGCGAAAGATGTGCAGAAGCATTGCTGGTTGACTCCTGTCGTCGTCTTCGTCATCTGAATTATGCTTCGAAGTCGTCGTTTCCTTCTTCCTCCCACATAATTGTCCTCCTCCTCTTCCTCTTCCTCTTCCTCTTCCTACTCCTCCTCGTCTCTCTCCTTCCGGCAACTCCTCATCCGCTTCCTCCTCCTCCTCATCCTCCTCCTCCTCCTCCTCCCCCTCCTCCTTAATTTCCTCCCTCCCTCTCTCCGTCTCTCCCTCCCTTCATCCTGATCCTCGTCCGCTTCCGCCCTCGTCTGCTCCCCAGAGGCCTCGCAAAGAGTCCCCGAAAGCTCCCCAGAACCCCCACAGGCCCCCCAAAGACTCCTCAATTTCTCCCGCGAGGTTCCCCAGCAGCTCCCCAGAAGCTCCCCAGAAACTCCCGAGAGGCACCCCAGAAGCTCTTCAAGGGCGCCCCACAGATTTCCAGAGGCTCCGCAGAGGCTCCGTAGAGGCTCCCCACGACCCCGCCCTGAAGCCTCTCAGGATTCCTGTGGATTCCTGGGCAACGCAGGGGGTAGGCCCCCAATATGGAGGTACGGCCGCAACGAGAACTTACTATTCTTCAGGGCACCTGTGGGGAGGCCGGAGAGATGAAGGGTTGGATTCGAATTTGAACGAGACTACCCAAGGTATTTGCGAAGCCAATTCCGGTAAACCCGGGTCAAATGACACGAGCGCCCCCCACTGTCGTCCTTCGTCAGGCGACCGTCGTCGAGGACGCGAGCGCTGATCTTTCTGTAGTTCGTGGGCGTGACCAGCTCGCTCCCGAAGTACATTGCCGACAGGGCGGTCTGCACAGAGCACCCCAAATCCGTGCAGCACCACTCAAAAGCCGCGCAGATCGGATCGGCGATGTCAGAGTAGACGTCGTCGGGCCAGCACTCCAGGTCCGCCCTCTCGATGATGTTGTTCATCGTCCTCTGGTACACATCCTTGTGAGCGACGTTCACCAGCCTCTCGGTGTCCAGGCCCAAATTGTGCATCTCCTGGATGGTGACCTGGTCGTAGTGTCCCGCCTCTTCCTCCGCATTCTCCGAGAGGACCCTGGCGTGCCCGGGATCGATGTCGTCGAGCAGCGAGGCGGTGGCTCCGAGAAACTTGGTGAAACTGCGGGCGTAGTAGCTGTAAGCCTTCATGAAGTGGCCCACGGTCGCGAGCGTCTCGTTGCCAAACGCGCCCACGGACATGGAGCGCAGCAGGTGGTGATTGAGAGCAGGGTGGTTGAGAGACCAAGCCTCGAGCACTGTGACGAAGTGCTCCGCGCTGGTATGCGCGGGGTCCAAGTCCCTCACCTGGATGCCCGGCACAACCTCCTCGTCCGAGACCGCGGTGGGAAGCAATGCCTCGAACAGCTGCTCCTTCGAAATCAAGCCGCCCGGACCGTCGGCCACCGCGTCGAACAGGGTCTGCAGTTCCTCCGTCGAGGGCGCGATGAATGAGGGAGCCATGTGTTTCGAGCTCTTGCGCAGCTCCACCTCCAAGGCCTTCTCCATGGTCGTTGCTCGGTGCAGGCTAGGTTTGTGGTGGATGCGGTGGATGGCGGAGATAGACGATTGCCGCGAGGATTGCGATCGCCGCGATGTCCTCCTTATTGAAGATATTCGCCATACCTGATCCGTGATGACGGAACCCATCAGGGAACCCTTGTCGGGGCGCTGGGGTGCTTCGAACAGACTCCTGCCTCCCAGCAGGTGATCCACGAGGCCGCCAAACTCCTCGAGGGTCAGGTGGTCCTCGTCCTCTTCCTTGTACTTGTCGAAGAGCCACCCGATAGCACCGATGAGCTGATCGCTGCAGCGATTCGGGTCCTCGACGCTGGCGTAGGCGTCCGAGTTGTAGAGCGCCTTCATGCCAACCAGTTCCAAGCGCTCCACTGGCGCACTGGATGGCGCGGCCCTGGACACCGCGCGGCACAGCTCGTCGAAAACAGCGCCACCGTCGCCAGACCAGCCGAAGCTCACGGAGAGGAGCTCGACGAAGTCCTCCCTGCCGAGGCTGTCCTTGCGGAGCACGCGCAGCACCCGGTCGAAGTCAGCGAGGGCCTCCTCTTTGAGTCGGTTCTGCCTCGGCGTCTTGGGCTCGGCGGGGGCAGCGCGGGCGCCCGGCTGCTCGTCCAGGGAGACGCCCGCGGGGATCGCAGCGCCTCGACCCTCGGCGAAGGCACTCGGTGGCACGTCGGCGCTGGCGAAGGACTCCCGCAAGCGGGACGCCTTGGCGGCCTTGGCACCCATCTGCGCGAGACCGACTGGGATCTGGGGTGGAGGGCTAGCACGAACAATCACGCAACGGGCTGCTCGAACAGGCCGCTGACGTGGCAGAGAAATGCGGGGTGGGGGGCAAGAGAAGCGGCGACTGGCACAGATCAGCATCGAGCACCCTGGGGTGCTCCAGGTCAGCAGAAGATGCGCACAGTGCCGATCCGAGGCATCCACACTTCTCTGCCCCCGCCTGCCTAAATGGTACTGCACGGTGCGCTCCCCGCTCTTCCAGGCGCACGGAGATCCCGGGGGCGGGGACGGTCCCAAAACACCTGCGCACCATCTACTCAGACACGGGGGGAGGAGGCGGCTGCACTGAGGCGCATGCGCTGATCGCCCAGGTTTACCCTGGCCTCGCCGCACCTGGAGAGCACACGCAAATCCAACGGTGGATTAACGTGAGCATACAATGAGCGGAATGGACACGTCGAAATAGAGTGGGACGAATCCATGGACAACTCTGGCCGTCGCCAAATTCCCGGCTCAAAACGCTGAGAGTTGAGCGAGGCGGCACACAGAGCAGACCAGCCACACAAACAGCCATCCAACCAGCCAGCCAACTACCCAGACCAACAACCAGCCAACCATCCAGCCCACCAACAAGCGAACCCACCCACCAGGGAGCAAACCAACACAAGACAAGTAACAAACCATCCAACCGTCCAGCCAGCCAGCCAACCATGCTCACAGCCAACCAGCCAGCCGACCAACCATAGAACCAACCAAACAACCGATGAGTTGGCCAACCAACCAGATGCCAGAAAACACATCAGCCAGCAGAAATTACTAATAGATTATAGGACTCAAATCAACGAATATGAGGAAACAAGCATGTTTGGAATCCGCAACTCAGCAAGCAAGCAAGCGTGCAGGCAGGCAAGCAAGCAAGCAAGCAGGCATAGGCATAGGCGTAGGCATAGGAGTTAGGGGGGAGGCACAGGCATAGCCATAGCCATAGCCATAGGAATTAGGGGGCATAGGAATTAGCGGGGGCGGGGCAACGGACCAATTAGTAGGGTTTGAACTAGGACTCCTATAGGGCAAGCCTATTTGGATAAAATCTCAACCGCCAACTTGGCCATCATGTTGTTTCTCCCCACATGCTTAGTGGGGTCCTGGTTTTCCTCCCTGCCGCGCCGCACCCGCGTTCACCTTCACCTCCTCCTCCTCCCTCCTCCCCGTCTCACACAGCGCAGCACAGCACAGCACAGAACAGCACAGCACTGCTCAGCACAGCTCAGCACAGCTCAGCTCAGCTCAGCACAGCACAGCACAGCACAGCTCAGCTCAGCTCCGCACAGCACAGCACAGCACAGCACAGCTCAGATCGGCACAGCACAGCACAGCACAGCAGAGCACGCAGGGCTAGCGCGCAGGGCACGGCAGGCGTGACCGCATCGCACCACGCACACACACACACACACACACACACACACACACACACACACACACACACACACACACACACACACACACACACACACATACCACGTCGGGGAGCGTGGCAGGCCCCACATAGAGGGGAAAGTGGCAGGCGCGGCAGTTTCTCGGCACCAGAGGGGGTGCGCCAGGGGTGGTCCCTCACCGCGGCCGCTATGCGTGCCAGGGTCGGAGAGCGCGGCAGGCGTTGTACTTTCTCGACACCACTGGGGGTGCGCAAGGGGTGGTCCCTCACCGCGGCCGCTATGCACGACCGTCGTCCACGGCATAGCAGGCGTGGCATTTTCTCAACACCATAGGGGGTGCGCAGGGGGTGGTCCCTCACCGCGGCCGCTACGCACGACGGTCGTCCAAGGAATAGCAGGCGTGGCACTTTCTCGACACCATAGGGGGTGCGCAAGGGGGGGTCCCTCTGCGCTGCCGCTATGCACGACGGTCGTCCAGTGCATAGCAGGCGTGGCAGTTTATCGACACCATATGGGGGTGCGCAGGGGGTGGTCCCTCACCGCGGCCGCTACGCACGACGGTCGTCCAGGGCATAGCAGGCGTGGCACTTTCTCGACACCATAGAGGGTGCGCAGGGGGTGGTCCCTCACCGCGGCCGCTACGCACGACGGTCGTCCAGGGCATAGCAGGCGTGGCATTTTCTCGACACCACTGGGGGTGCGCAGGGGGTGGTCCCTCACCGCGGCCGCTACGCACGACGGTCGTCCAGGGCATAGCAAGCGTGGCATTTTCTCGGCACCATTGGAGGTGCGCAAGGGGGTGTCCCTCAGCGCGGCCGCTACGCACGACGGTCGTCCAGTGCATAGCAGGCGTGGCATTTTCTCGAAACCATAAGGGGATGCGCAGGGGGTGGTCCCTCACAGTGGCCGCTATGCGTGCCGGTCGTCCAGGGCAAAGCAGGCGTGGCACTTTCTCGACACCATCAGGGGTTCGCAGGGGGTGGTCCCTCACCGCGGCCGCTATGCACGACGGTCGTCCAGGGCAAAGCAGGCGTGGCATTTTCTGGGGATACGCAAGGGGTGGTCCCTCACCGCGGCCGCTATGCACGACGGTCGACCAGGGCATAGCAGGCGTGGCATTTTATCGACACCATAGGGGGTGCGCAGGGGGTGGTCCCTCACCGCGGCCGCTACGCACGACGGTCGTCCAAGGAATAGCAGGCGTGGCACTTTCTCGACACCACTGGGGGTGCGCAGGGGGTGGTCCCTCACCGCGGCCGCTATGCATGACGGTCGTCCAGGGCATAGCAGGCGTGGCATCTTCTCGACACCATAGGGGATGCGCAGGGGGTGGTCCATCACCGTGGCCGCTATGCGCGCCAGTCGTCCAGGGCAAAGCAGGCGTGGCATTTCCTCGACACCATAAGGGGATGCGCAGTGGGTGGTCCCTCACCGCGGCCGCTATGCGCGCCGGTCGTCCAGGGCATAGCAAGCGTGGCAGTTTTTCGACACCATAGAGGGTGCGCAGGGGTTGGTCCCTCACCGCGGCCACTATGCACGACGGTCGCCCAGGGCATAGCAAGCGTGGCGCTTTCTCGACGCCAGACGGGGTGCGCAGGGGGGGGTCCCTCACCGCGGCCGCGGTGCGCCGGGGGTGCGGTCGCTATCCGTTTCGGCCTCGCAAAGCGTTGGCAGGCGTGGCACTGTCTCGACGCCAGAGTGGGTGCGCTGGGGGTGCGGTCGCTATCCGTTCTGGGCTCGCAAAGCGTGGCAGGAGTGGCAACTTCTCGACGCCGAAGGGAGTGCGCTGGCGGTGCGGTCGCTATCCGTTTCGGGCTCGCAAAGCGTGGCAGGCGTGACACTTCCTCGACGCCACAAGGGGGTGCGCTGGGGGTACGGTCGCTATCCGTTTCGGGCTCGCAAGGCGTGGCAGGCGCGGTACTTTCTCGATGCCACAGGGGGTGCGCCAGAGGTGCGGTCGCTATCCGTTTCGGCTTCGCAAAGCGTGGCAGGCGTGGCACTTTCTCGACGCCACAAGGGGGTGCCTTGGGGGTGCGGTCGCTATCTGTTTCGGGCTCGCAAAGTGTGGCTGGCGCGGCGCTTCTCCTCTCCACCTCTCCTCTTGAGTGGCGTCACCAACAGTATCGGCGGGGCAACGGCCACCAACATCATTCTCCCATGCTTCACTTCAGCTATCATCCCTCCAGACAAAATATAAGTATGTGGAGGTCCTCGGTAGCGTAATTAAGGAAAGTTCTCTTCAACCATCTTTGCCCGCCCTGGGAAAGATTCATCATCACCCCTCTCAACCTGCCCATCCCATGGGTCTGAACGGAAGGTTTCCCGAGATGTCGAAAAGTCCCTCATAACCCAAAGACGGTTCCAAGAGACAACATATAACCCAAGATACATCCTGGGTGCCTCAAGCGGCTCGAGCTCCGGCTCTCGCGCGCGCGGCGGGCGGGCGGGGGCAGGGGCCGGCGCTGGCATGGCGCCTTCGCCGGACGCAGGCTCGGGCTTCTACGCCAACGCTGGGGGCACAAGGGGTGCCCAGGGCGAAGGGAGGCGACCGAACAACGAGCCGCAGGAGGCGGAGGCAGCGCAGCAGGCGCCTGAAACACGCTGGGCCGAAGCGCGGGACGAGGCCGAGAAGCCGAGCGAGGCAAAGCAGGCCGAGGAGGCAGACGAAGCCAGGCGCGACGAGAGGAGCAGGCGCTCAAGGAGGAGCAGAAAGAGACGCACTGGAAAACGCAGCAGGAAAGAGACCGGACCTGAGGAAGGCGAGGAGGCCTGCTGCCAGAGGGGCAAAAGAGCGCCCGAGGAGGCACTCGAGGCAGTGGAGGCAAGGCGCTGCAAGGACCACGAGAAAGAGGAGGCAGACGAGGCTGAGGAGGCGGAGGAGGGGAAGGAGGCCAAGGAGGACGAGAAGACGCGGAAGCCGCGCACAAGCAGCAGAGCCCACGGAGAGAGGCAGGCCACGGCGAGCCGCTGGTGCGCGCTGCCACGGGACCCAGGGCCGCCTCTTGGCCTCTGGAAGCTCGCGCTTCGCAGGCGCAGAGGGCGCAAGGGGGGGGGGGGGCCAGGAGAAGCGACGCGAGCAGGAGCTGTCGCAGCGGCTTAGGCGGCCAAGGTGGCAGAGGCAGCCAGAAGCGAGAGGGCCGAGGAGGGAGCCCAGAGAGGCCAAGCAAGAGGCAGAGGACGAGGAGAATAGGGAGGAAGAAAAGAAGGCAGAGGGGACACCGTAGCGCCGACAGGAGACGAGGCAGGGCGCAGACGAGAGAAACCATCTGCGACCATCTTGCCCATTAAACCATACCTTTGCCGCACACCGGGTCAGTCCATAAATATAAAGAAATCTCGCATGACACCATTATACTCCGCCACCTCCCCTCGTACATATGACACCAGCAGCTCCCAAATGTGATTGCCCTCCACAAAGATACCCTCCTCTATCACCTTCTGAACAAATAAAGTTGGCATTGAAAAATGAACAAAACCTTGAAGCAACCGATTCTTTGCACCAACAACGCTACCAAATCCGGGAAGAACCCCACCTCCGCACACAGCATCCCGCAGTCTCGCACCAAGCCCGAGAAGGTAGGGAATGTGCGAACGACAGCGAGCATCTAGACATTTCTGAACCTGCGTAAAATAATTGCCCTC